GAGGGGGAGACAAAGGCAGGGTGTGACGGTGGAGCAGAGGCGGCTGGGCAAGGGGCTGCAGCGTTTCGTGGAGCCTCCCACCCATCTGAGCCTGACCCTGGCCCTGGCTCCGGCTTTAATGCAGAAAGAGTCGGCGCCTGACTCTAAGCATGCTGTGAAAGCCCCTTCCCCCTTCTCCCCACTCCCCAACAGACAAAGACAGTGTCACACACGCCTCCTTATCCCTGGAATCACCAGTGATGAGCTGAAAACCAGCAACGCTTAGTATCCCTTTCCTCATCTTGTGTCTGTATGGAAGAAGCCCTGCACAGCCCAGCTCCAGCTGCTCAATCGATCTCGGACGAGCAATGGAAGAGCAAGGCCACTAGGAAAAACAAGTTGATCAATTAAAAGATCCAAGTTAAATAAAACGTTCAAGGCCTCAAGGCAACAGCAGAAAAATGGTAGAGGCAGAGTGCAAATACAGCTCATCCGCCCCTCCAGCCTTGCTCCGAGAGACCTCGCGCTCGGCAGAGCATCACCAGCAGTTTTGGTGCTGGTCAGAAGAGGTTTGGCTGGTCATCTACCGAATTGCACTTCGACTGAGGCAGGAGAGGACCTCTGGAGATCATCTAGTCCAACCCCGCTGCTCGAGCAGGGTCAGCTGGAGCAGGCTGCCCAGGACTGTGTCCAGCTGGGTGTTGAGTATCTCCGAGGATGGAGACTCCACAACCTCTCCAGGCAACCTATGCCAGTGTTTTACAATTTTCACAGCAAAAATAAACCCCTTTTTCTGATGTTTAAACAGAATTTCCTGTGTTTCAGTTTGTGCCCATTGTCCCCTGTCCTCTCAGTGGACACCACAGAGAAGAACCTGGCTCTGCCTTCCCTACTCCATCCTCGTCGGTATTTATACACATCGGTGAGATTCCCTGAGCCCTCTTGCACAGATCTGCTCTTTCTTCAGCTTCACCTCTTCCTCCCTTTCTCACCTCATTTCCTTGAGCCCAAACATCCCTCCAAACATAACACTGAGTAAACAACTGTTTCCTCTGCCTGTAACAATGGGAGCATTTTTCCCACTAACGTCGTGGCCAGGCACACCAGGCTGCTCCTGGAGAACACAGGAAGCAGAAGAGCCTTGACTCGCCACAAAAGGCTTCCTCAAAACATCTCCATGTCCTCCCCCTCACCGCGGCAAAGCCCAGCTTCCTCCTTCGAGAGTGCAGAGGAGGACAGCCTCCCTGGGACACTGCCGGTAGATGTGAAGCCTCCAACCCTGGCAAGGCCATCTGAATTGCCAGAGCCCACCTCTGTCCCTGCCATGGGCAGAAACCCTTGGTGGGAGTGGGCATGTGGGGCAGGAGGAGAACAACTGACTGAAGGACTAATCCACCACCCACATGGAGGAGGATGAGGAGGTCAGCAGCCACCTCACCTCCACGCGTGCCCTCCACGTGGGTGCCACCCATGGCACACTCTTGCAGGAGGGTTTCTGAGCAGCAGCTCCATAACAAGCCTGCACTCCTTGGAGACTCAAGGGACTCAAGGGAAGGCGAGCCATCAGGGCTTGGAGGATGAGCTGTGCAGGTCATCCAATCCCAAACATTTGGGGAAGAAAGCATGAAAGTAAGTGCTTTGGCCCACGCGGCTGCTGCTAATAAAATCCGAAAACATGCCGGTTTCCAGCCAGGTGGTGGGACAGAGGTGGCAGCGTACCTGTGGGACAAAGATGAAGCAGTTGATTGTGGTTGTACACACGAAGATGCCTCCAGAGGTAAAACCAAACACCAAGTTGTGCCAAGCACGGAAGAAACGGTGAACTAAGCAGACGGTGCCGGCAGCCAGGAAAACGAGGTTAACCCCAACGATGAGCGTCAAGGACTGGTTGACTGGCGGGGAGCTGACGTTGTCAGTCAGACCAGCCAAGTAAGTCCCATACAGCAGGAGGATACTCTGGAAGCAGAAAAAAGAGGTTTCCAGAGTGTGGAAAATTACAGCCTGACGGTGTCAACCCCCACCTCGTAGCGAGCCCGGTGAGCTCAGATACAGTCAGTGCCATCCTAATTAACGCTCTTTGATCTATAATGCAGGCTTTCGGCATGCAGCAGTAACGCCACAGCAAATGCCCGGCATGCTGCATCAGGTCAGAGGTGGGGCTGGGGAGGGAGGGCAGAAGCAAAGGTGCTGGTGGGCCGCGGGGGTCCCAACCGAGGGGTGCTGAGGGTCAGGTCGGCAGGTGATGCCATGGAGCAGGGCACGGCCAGGAGAGATAGGATGTGAAAACCTCCCCTTGGGCAGCCTGGTGCAGGAACAGCAAAGATGGACAGACAAGGAGGTCCCTGCGGGGACGCGGCGGTGGGGTCCCTTCAAGGAGCAATGACCTCTGAAGAAGCTGGAAGGAGATTCAGAAGGAAAAAGCGAGGCCGAAGAAGTGGAGGTTTAGACTGGAAGGAAGAGGACGTACTTGGAGCCTCTTTAAATAGAAATCTACCGGGTGCGATTTGTCTCCCTTCCCTCTGCCATTTCCTGCTCAAGTCCAGTGGGGGTGAAAGGGGCTGGAGAAGTGCTTTGTACACAGAAGTCCTCTCCTCACCCAGAGCAAGTTGGCTGTTCCAGAGCAGGCTCCTCACCGCGCCGCCCCTCAAGTGTCCCACACGGGCACCTTTCCAGTGTGCTCAGGATTAAACTAACCGGCAGGCTGAATCCCGCCATCCCCAGGGCACACCGGCAGGAAACACCGAGTATTTTTTGCCCACCTCTGTAGCACAGGCCATGGTCTGCCTTCAGGATCATTTGGAAATATCATCTAACAAGAACCCTGCTCCTGCAAGCACCCAGAATACGGGGAACCTGACTCCTGCATCATTCCTGTGCCACTCAGTAAGTGCAGCTGTTGGCCTTTTTCAGAGAGAGATTAAATTGTTATTTGGGCATCAAGAAGTGCTCTGGAACCTGTGGTGCAGATGTCCTGTAGACCCTTCTGGACCCCTCTGTGCTGTGGCTGCTTGATGACTGAGGTGGCCGCTGCCAGGGCCAGGGACACTCTTACAGGCAAGAGAGGTTCATGTCCATAGTGTTTGGCGAGACTCCCAACTTCAGAGCACCATGAATTCTCAAGGTGGGGTTCTAATCGTGAGACCAGCCTCACTGATGCTCAACTCTGCTTTGTAGAATCTGCGCTGGATCTTAACCACGTTCACCACGGGGCACCTCCAAACACACGGCCCAAAGGCAAGCCAACTCCTAAGCTCCCAGCAAGAAAAAAACAGCCCCAAAGTCCCATTTAAAATTCATATAGTCTATCTGGGACACAGACAACAGCACTGCTGTCTGGTAAAGTAGGACTTTCGGCAAGCACAGGACTAAGTTTCTTGTTTGTTTGTTTGTTTGAATCTTGAGCAGAGGACTTTTTGCTCCCAATTCCAGGCATGTCCTTGGCAAGTCATTTCTGTTCATTGCTCTGCGCCAGGAAAACCAGGATAATACACTGAACAGCTTCACAAAGGGCCGAGCATATTAATGCCGTGGAAGATAAGAAGTGCTATGTACACACAGAGATAGAGCCTACTCTCACATTAGTGTAAATCCAGATTAACTCCAGAGAAACCACTAAAGAAATAACTCCATGACCCCCAGTAGATAGATTGGATCAGAGTCAGGCTCAATGCAACACTACGGAAGAGTACCTGGGACTGGGAATGGGGAAGTTTAATCCCAAAAAGCAGTTTGTAGGAGCTGTAGGCAAAAGCATTACCCGTCTAAACTCCAACACAAGCTGCGGACAAAATCAGAGGTGGAGACGCAGCACTGAAAGCCCAGGGAATGTCTGCAATCCCTAGCACCAAAGGCCTTTTAAGGACAGGCTAGACGTCTTTAAAACGGAGTGTAGGGGCGAGAAGGACTTGGCCATGTCATGAGGTGTCTTCCTGCTCTTTTTCCTACGATTTTGGGTAGATGGTCAATGAGTATTATATTACGGTGAGTCAGAAAGGAACTGCCTGCACTGCACGCGGAGACGAAGCCATTCCCAAAGAAAGGCTGTGATCTCACAAGCTTCATCAACATCAGCCTTCTGAAATGCATCCGGCCTCCGCCAACCCAGAGACACATGAGACCGCAGATAATTACGGCGATAATTATACCTACATAGTTACATCAGTGTAACTAACTCTGCTGGAATAGCAACGGCCACACGCAAAGCCACACCAGTGAAAGTGCATCTCGGTGGTATAATTAAGCTGATACGCATTCTGTAAAGCCAGGTGCCGAGCACTTGTCATCAGCACCTCCTTGACTTCGGAGTCAGAAGACTCGGGGGCTGAGCTGCCAAGTGCATCACGGCAGTGGATGGTCATCTGAGGCCCTTATGGAAAACAATTGCTTTAGAAAACAGGAGATGGGAGATAGATGAGGCGTGGGGGATTACAGGGAGAGAACTAGAGCACGGTGTACGTAAAAGACAGTTAGGCAGCGAAAAAGTGGCTAACAGGGCTTTTACAAGGGAATGCCAGGAAACATCAAGATAGGAAGGACTGGAGGCAGGAAGGCTTTCAAGACAGACAGGAGTAGCTGGCATCTGCAATAGGTACATAGCTTGGGAGGGCAGTAAAACTACGAATGCTGCTACGGAGTTTAGGCTGCGAGACTGGGAGGAGGCAAGATACGACGCAAGAATCAATAAAGAGGTTACGTACCTTAAACCCTAAAATGAGAACGAGCCAAAGGTCGGAATAAAGGGATGCGCAGGACTGCACCCGGTTCACGGAGCAGGTCATGCCTTTCTCTGTCGCCTAGGAGGCAAGGGGAAGGCAGAAGTGAAGGCTGCTGCCTGGAAGCAGGCAGAGACCGATGGGCAGACAGGTCTACGCATCTGAGTGGGTCTCTTCTGTAAATTCCTACAAGGAAAGGCCAAAGCTGGTGCTGCCAGGGGCAGAGGGTTAAAGCGAGGAAGACTTTGGCACTCTGCTGCCAACAGGGCCGGTTAAACCTTTCTCTAAAGCATCTACAGATGCCGTGGACCTCTCCTGTGTCACCCAGGTGACCTGCACGTGCTGGTCAAGATCATCCACCAGACCCCACTGCTTGGCAAACCAAAGCCCTGCAACCAGCCGCCTCTTGCCAGGTTTGGGTGCACAGACCTGGCAATTTTACAGCAGACCCTGGTCTCTGTAATAGGCCAGACATAAACCCAACCTGGAGTGCCCAGAAGGCTTTCTGGCTTGTTTTTCCTTCTATTTTTTTAAGCAGCACCTCCAAACTCCTGACCATCCACCAATTTCGTCCACAGAGATTGGACAGGACACGACGCAACACTCCACCGCCCCTCCTCATCCTTTTACCCGCAGTGAGACACTGAGGCTTCGGAAACACTGGACCGGATCAGAGAACACCCATGTCAAGAGCAACACGGCATCGGCCAACACCAATACTGCCACCATTGCCAGCAGCTGGAGGTCTTTGATAATCTGCAAACACGCAAGAAGTAAGCGTTACTGTGAGGGGCAAACGGACACCAGTAACCTCCATCCCCTCGGGTCTCTCTGGTTGTTTCTTCCAAGGGACATGTCTATCCTAATGCTTCCCCTAGAGTGGCGTCCAGCAGCTCACCTACACCTGAGTCAGCCACGAGATCTCTGTCTCCAGCTCCCAAACTCTCAGAGTCCTAATCAGGCTTGGGGCCAGGTATAAACCCTCCCTGATGGTGGGGCTAGCTGGTAAATGCTATGACAGAAAACAGCTCTTCCAAAACAAGAGTATCTTCCCTTACGCCCACATCACAAAAAGAGTGGGGGAAAAAAGGCTGGTTGGGTTATCATTTTGCAAGTTTAACACAGATTCTGGTGCCTTGGGAATGGGAGTCCTTGCTGGTACCCGGTTCCCCTGCAAACTCTCTCGTCTCACCTTTCATCTGAGACCACTGGAAAGTGGCAACTGAAAGCTGTAAGTGCACTGTTAAATGCACAAATTTATACAGGTGGCTCCCATTTCCCTCCCAGCTGCTGTATCCCCTTCCTTCAGCGCTGCAGAGGCGCACTCAGCAGTCCCTCCTTCCCTTCAAGGGGGAATCAGACGCATCTGGGGATGGCCCTAGATCAGAGACCCTTGAGGACACATGGTTTATTTTCATTCTGCAAAAACAATCAGCCCAGACCTGGACACAAACACCGCTGTGTAGTGTAATAAAGGCATGCAGCCGATGTAAAATGAGAACAAGACCTCGCTCAGTGATGGGGTTGGGACTGCACTGGGGAAAAGGCAGCCTGGCAGGGCACCCACTTGCCTGTGGAGTGAAAAAGTTCCTGTCCCATTGCCCAAGAAGAAGCGAGGAGCCCATGCCCAGCTAGGTGTGAAAGCAAACCCATGATTATGCCACCCACCCCTCCCCGTGTGCCACTTTTTATCTGCTACCCCGCACCGCTTTGGGACTTGCTGGTGTTCACCCCCCTTAGAGAGTTCCCCCCCCGCCCCAGGTGCTGTGTACTCACCACCCGCTTG